CCCCCCCCCCAAAGGAAGCTAACATGCTCAAGGATAAAACGTCAATTTGAAGTTTTATAATTCTTTCCAGGCATCCAGGCTTGTGGTATTTCTCACCACTTTCCCTTTTTGCACATGATCATGACAGAAACGAACAAACGTGGAAAAGTTTTTTAAGCAGAAAATGATTCATTTTATTTAAAAACAAAGGCACACGTGACATCCATTACTGCTGAAAGGGCCTTCTTCGTGATCTCGAAAGACTACATAATTTGAAGATTTCTTGGAAGTAAGGCAAGGAAGTTTTGTGAGCAAGAAAGCTGGTAAACAGCACTTCTGCCCAAAAAGAGAAAAAGAAAAAAAGATGCTGAAGCCAGGAAATTTAGAGGGTGATAAACACTAAAACTGAACATGTGCATCGCAATTACTGGGCACCTCCAAAGGTGGAGCCTTTGGAATGAGATGTACTACCTATGGTACATCTCCTGTTTCATGGAGTCCCTTTTGAGTGATTTCCTTAGGATCAAAACCTTCAAATCTACCTCCAAAGGGACAGGGTATTTTTTCAGTGGAGCCTTTCCCGTCTAAAATTCCATTAAAATGGGCCCATCGTGAACATGGCATATTCTCAAAGTTTATTCATCTAGATAAATTACTGCGAGAACCCAGGGCATGTGAGAAATACAGAAGTATTCTACTTATGAAGTCATTTTCTCCTGCTGACTTCACCTCGCTGGTATGTTGATTTATCCCATAAAGCAAAGGCGGTGCTTGTGTGATGAGAAATAATACAGTAGAAAATGATAGAAAGATGGAGAAGCACAGCTCCCCTCCGTGAGGTGCCTAAAACACTCAGTGTCACCCACCACAGGTCAATTAACTTAAACATGTGTGACTGGGAAGGATGGGACCTCAGGCTCTCAGAAGGGGTCCTGCTGGTACCTCTGCTATGCTCATGTTCAAAATCTATCCAAACAAACAAATAAAAACAATTCAACAGAAATTGCCAATTGCAGCAGGTATGTTCACAGACCTTTTCTCTTTATAACACTCTTGGTCTGTTTCGGTCCATGACTGACTGAAGCAACAGGTGCACCCAGCGCTGAGTTCCCTGGTGTCTGATGCACTTAAAGATACTCTCGCTGCGGAGGACCTGCCTACACATCTTCCCACAAGTCGGGTAGCTGTGAACAGGGCCCGCACTTCAGGGGAGGTACACGCTGTCCTTATGCTGAGCAGAAGGAGGGGGAAGGTTTGGGTGTTTAAGTAATTCATAAACATCTTCTCTCTCCTCCCTTACTTTCTCTCCTGCAGGGCAGTCAGCGAAGGACCCACGGTCCAAGCAAAGGCCTTCTGATCCAGTGGGGAGAAAGACCACTATTTGGAGGGGCAACTACACAGGCATCAATGACCACAGACACTTGGACCATTCTTAGTGCATGTAAAATATCAAATGTTCCTCTACTTCACACAATATTTTATTTAATATTTTACGTACATAACTGTACATTTTATATCACTGCTCATAGGAGTTTCTCACATTAGGCTTTATGTGGGAAAACTCTATTTTACATAACTGAGCATAAGAGTTTTTCCACATAAGACATTTTTCTATGTTCAGTTAAGAATCACAGTGGTATATAAAGTGGGACTAGAAAACTGATACATTCATGTGCAAAAATAATAGCCTTTGCATTGTTCTCAAACCAATTATATCTGACAATTAAAACCTACAAACAAAACACATAATTTTAGCTCTGATATTTAAGGCCCCAAGAATATCCAGATAATGAAGCCCACAGTCTTAGGGGGAGAAAGTACAAGTGTGGCCGTTCAAGAAAGGGACACTGCAGCTATGTTCCTGGGGCCGTTCTCCATGTGTGCTGACCCTTCCTGCTTCTGTCTAATGCCAGCAAGGCACTCAGGACAGGGAGCTCAACGAGCCGGCCACTGCCAAGAGGCCATCTGATGTCACTGTTTTCATGTATCCCGAGGTAGAAGTTAAAATGGGACCATCTTCCTCAGATCATATGGCAAGTTTGTTTTTTGTAGGAGAAGGGCGAGGTAGAAAAGTTTGACACTTAAGTAATAGTTCAATTTGTGCAAATGAAAAAAGCTCTCCTATGTGTTTTGGAAACTTTCTAGAAATATGTAATTAGTTAATTCTAGATAAGTCTCTAGAACGTCAAAATTCTCTTTCAAAAAGAAAAAATATCACTGTTGATTTGCAAAAATAAACTTACTTTAAAGAAAAAATTATAAGAAAACCTTTTTCTTTCTATTTTGGATAATATATAACTTTTATATAACATACAAAACATTACATATTTGTGATAAGTTTGGCTATGTCGTTACCTAGCTCACTGTACTCATTTTTTTTAACCTAATAGAACTGCATACCTATACTTATCCATGAAATTAAACCTGCACAAATTACATTTCTCTTAATGAACACAGAACTGGATTCATTTTCTGGGGTTGCCTCAGAAAGCTTTACAATTTTGCTTGACTTAATGATAGACTTTGGCTGGGGTGGGGCTGGGGGTAGAAGGGCACAGAGAGTAATATTAATATATCTCTAAGGTTGCAAACTTATTTAAATAATAAGCAACGGATGTTACAAAAATCGAAATCTGATAGCAATGCCAAATTAAAACTTATCCCAGAAGTCATATTGTTAGCAGTTAAACTTTAAATATAAGATGTACTAGCTGTTAGGTGTAATGTAGGTGAATTCCCTTAGCTTTTGAATTGCCCGGCACTTATGTGGGGGGGAAAAAACAAAACAAAACAAAAAAGCCGCCCTTGGAAAGAATATAAATTAAGATACCAATAACTGTATCATTTAGTGCTTCACTTTCTTAACATGTACACCAAATATTATACCACATGTTTGTGCTGAAATGCCAGTTGGAATCAGTATTGAAGTGGCTCTATAAAAGAATATTTCTAAGACATACAGGTGTAATGATGTAAATAACGAATGGATTTCTGAGACACTGCTATGACCTAGCTTGTCTTTATTTTTCTGCATATGCTCAGGTAGACTTACTTCCTGGTTATTAATTAGAGCCAATAAAATATATATCTCTCAAATAATTTAATGGCTTCACTCACTGAAATGGGAGGGATTCTAACGTACCCTGTTTCTTGGTTACATGTGATCCGCTGCCCAGTGTTACTAGTTCGTCAGAGTGACTCCCCCGGAAGCGACTTACTGTTTGAGTTCTGTGGGAACCCGGGCAAGGAAGATGGGCCGTTCATCCCAGGGAGGAGAACCGGAGGCAGGCCGGGGAGGCCCGGGTAGGCTGCTGGAAGGCTGATGCCGTGGAGGGGGCCGCTGTCCACCACGCTGGGCTGCTGCACCGCCAAGCCCAGCACATCTGAAGCTTTCTTGATCCGGTCAAGTTCTTGCTGGGCCATCAGCTGCCGCACGGTGGTCGGGGCCAGGTAATCTTTCTCCCTGTCAAGCTGGCTCCCCACGGTCTCCCTCACTTTCGCAATGTGCTGTTTGGAGAAAATATGGTCTCTGATGGACAGGCGGGCAGAATACTTGACCCCGCACAGGCTGCACTCCGGTTTGGCGCCTTCTGCGCCCCCCTGGTTGATCATGAAAGGCTTCCCGATGTTGATCTTGAACTTCTTTTCCTTGGCGCGGGCATTCTGGAACCACACCTGGACCACGCGCTTGGGCAGGCCGATCTCGCTGCCCAGCATCTCGCACTCCTGCATGGTGGGGGTCCGGTAGTCCCCGAAGCACGCCTTCAGGACCTTCAGCTGCAGGTTGCTCATCTGGGTTCGGAACCGCTTGTGGCCCGGCCGATCGTTGCTTTTGGACTTGAAAGGGTTGCTGGACCCGAAAGGATTGGGGGAGCTGGGGTCGGCGATGCTGGACGTTTCGCTGCGGTCGGCGTTGTCGTCGGCGTCGTCCGTGATGTAGAAGCTTTGGTCGTGGTCACCGTCTTTGTCGCCGAAGTGGATGGAGGGGCTGGTGAGCGAGAAGAGGAATTTCTCCTCGCAGACCTCGGCGGTGGGCGTGGTGGCTGCCTTGGGCAACGCGTCCAGGGCCTTGGGCTCCTTGGGGGACAGCGCCGGCTTCCCGTCGGCGGGGCCGCCCAGGGCGCCCTCCCCGTCGGCGGGGCCCTCGTCGCCCGTGGTGGCGTCGCTGATGGCCGTGTTGACCGACGACGTCTCGTCCAGGTCGGCCTTGCCCTGGTCGTACCCGGCCTCGGCGGGGG